TTAAAAATATCAAACATTAAACTCTTCATCTATTTCAATTTATATCAAATCGCACATTGGTATTTTTTAAAATCTTATAGGCTACGTTTTGTTTTGATTCGAGGAAATGCGAACCGACATTGTTGACAGAAAGTCAAAGTTACGATTTGCTGCAATAAGATATTCATAAATGCAGATGATTTCAGTACATGTGAACAATTCTTTTCAATTCTATACTTACATTGTGTATATGAGGTCTATAGAATTCAATTCTCGGATTTATCAGGTCTTGCTGTAAATGTATCTGATTCTGTGGAAAACCGTGAATAAAGGGAGGAAAATAAACATCTCCTCCATTTTCAGAGTCGTTCCTCATTGATCAGTAAGGGTCTGAGAACAACATCAATTTTACATTGTAAAAAGTTTTTTGTTTATTTATTGTTGTTTTATTTAATCAAAGAAGAAAAACAATATTTATATCGTGTATGCACAAATTGTAATGAAGATCATTATTCGGAATGTTATAATAGCCAATTGTACAAAATGAGAATTTCGGCAATGTTAAATAAAATTTTTAGATTTTGAAAAAATGCTGCGCTTTTATCAAAAATACAATTTATTGTTTACGAAATGACATGAAATAAACATTAAGGGATGGTATTTTATGTCTTGCTTTTTACGGAGTTTAATCGGGTTGATTAAAAAAATACTTATTGATTGAGTATGGTACGCACAATCACAGACAAGCCCCATATCCCAATTTTCTTTCATGATTGATATACATTGGGATCGTTTTACTCGTCGTTTTGACGCTTTATTTTTTACGTTAAATTTGACGTCACGTCAAACGTTCAATTGAAATCGCAAGAGTTATCTCCCCCGGTGTGTTGTACGTCTTTAAATACGGACTATAACCTTTAGCATCAAGAATGTCCATCGGCAATTGACTCAATGATGAATTGTATTTGCTGACAAGGTCATTGTATCGACCATAGTACGTACAAAATGATGACTTTAAACAAGACTGCTGATATTCCTGTTTCATCAACTTGTTTGTCAATAATTCACCTCATTTTGGAAATTGTTCATACGCAGAACATGCTCTTGCTTATTGAATCAACTGAAATATATAAACTCCGTATGCAGGTGATGAAGATATATTGCTGATAAGTAAAGGAAGTTGACGATCGGAAAGTATTCTTGTTTGTCATAAAGCTTGGTTATTAGAGTCTTTTTCCGGTAAAATATCAAAGTATGAAATAGAAAACTCAGACTGTTTGGTATCTTTATCTCAAGCTCACCAGAATATATCATATTGACAATACGTTGTCGATATATCTAAATGTCCAGTTAAAGACCACAGCAAGTGTTTTCGTCTTTTCACAATCAGATATTATACACATTCTGCGTTATATGAATGCTACAATAGGTCAGCTAATAACAGAGCGCAATAAGTATCCATGGGAATCCCAATAGATTGTTTGAAGACCTGGTCACCAAAATTTTGTCAATCAGATACAAGGCATCCTCTTGATGTCGACTTCAAAATACAAGTGTGTCTAATCAGAATGTTTTCAATAAAATAATTTTGCAAATGACCAATGACAAGGTAAGTAAATTTACGAATTCCATTTATATTGAAGAAGAAGATGTCAGTGATATCGAAAGGCATGGACTTTAATTTATCGCAGGGAATTATAGTCTTTATTGTTGAAAAGTATGAAATGTGTAAATTAAATTTGTAATGAGATCTAAAATATACTTCATTTTTACTAGCCTGCTTTACAAGAAGAAAACAAACCAGCTCATAATAAATTTTTAAACAGAAACAAAAATAAGTTTCAGGTAGTAACATTTAGTTAAGAAGCTTATTTTTTGACCTATGTTTAACAACATATCTTCTAGCGATAAGGTTCTATCTCAATTCTCATACTAAAACTATTTAATAAACCATAAAAAGAATTTTTTTTTTGCAATTTAGCAAGATCTTCTGTATTTCTTACTTTTTCTAATTCTTATGATGTTTAATTCAAACTTAAGTAATATAGATTTTTAAAAAGACTTAACAAGCTTGTGTAGGTAACATTGCCAAAGGAGATTGATTGATACATGTACATGCAGTATGTTGTTTTATGCCCCATTCGAGAAGAGAACATCATTCAGACATGGACGTCACTGTACGCCGGTGAAGGGCTTCAAACTTTGACCTTTACCCGGAATTTTCAGGCATTAAGCAGTAAGGGATCGTTATCGTGCCAATGTTACTGTTACACAGAGCCTCAGCTTTAAGGTCTCATCCCAAGGACCTGCAACTTACAATTCAAGTTCTTGAGCAAATGACAAAGGAACAGTTGCTACCAATGTTCATCCTTCTCATAGAGATATTATTCAATTCAGCCCTTCCGACAAGACAAGCCTTATTTGTTCGTGACCAACATTGTCTTTTGAACCCTGCCTCGTCTAAGTAGTCCAAAAGATTTCGATAAGAAGATGACTTTACGAAAACTAGTGAAGTGTATAAAGGTTAATTGTTCGCCAAAATATCTTGACAAGCCTTGGGTATATTGCTCCTGGGGCAAACACTAAAAAATATAGCAAAAACCAAACATATCGCATGTGAGAGTGAAAGTAACATCAACGTAAAGTTTGAACCTATGGGAATTGCACAATAGATTACCTTCAGTGCTGGGGTGAATTAAGGATTATCAAAGCCTACTCCTTTAGGAAAATGAAATGGCGATATACATGTAGCAGGATAAGCATACCAATCTTGCCTGACGCTGTTACGCAATGAAATGGCGATTATACATGTAGCAGGATAAGCATACCAATCTTGCCTGACGCTGTTACGCATCAACGTCCTCGTCACTGATACATGTAGCTGAAAACCTTTCTCCCCGTTTCTAAAGACGAATAAGATATTCTATGGTAATAAAAAATCAAAACAAACTTAGCAACAAATTGTTGTGTCTTTATCTTTACTTAGACATTGCAATAGCCAGACCCCATTGATTCAGTTAACCGGTATCAATTTACATCCTCTACAAATATTGAAAAACGAGGTGTTTTACATAATATATGTGAAACGAGTGTTACCGCAAGATGTCATCATCAATATGCACGTTTAAAATTACCTAGCATTTATATTTTATCTTTCCCTATATTACATGTAGTGTTGTGAATATATTTGGAATTGATTCTTAATTAAACACTCGGACTCAACTCTGATAATATGAATGAAAATAAAAATTTACCTAGCTGTGGAAAACGATGTGTAATCACAACTAAGTTTTAAACCGTTATAAGGATGTTTTGCACGCCCATCTTTGCATTTATATTTATTCTACCGACGTATTTTACTCTTTACCATAACAGAAAACAAAACTGAATATACAATTTCCTTCTTTTCCTCTCATTTTTTTTTACATAATTATCATATTACTAGTCTTCATTTATATTTATGATACATTATCTACACAATCTCAAGCAGTTTTATTTTCCTTAATGTTATTACCAAGGAATAAATAAGATTTTGTAAACCCATCATTAACAATGCGTTCTTAAATAAAATTGTTTCTCATGTTGAAAAGAAATCTTACAAAATTAAAAGTGATTTCATTACGGAAATATTTAGGCGTAGCTTTAATGAGTAATCTGATTTGAAATAAGTGGATTTAAGTAGAATATTCTACCTGGTCTGAAGTTTGAACATACGTTTGGAAAAATGACTGATTGAAACAAAATAAAAATGATGCAGCGAAAAAATATCACATATAGGAACACCTAGATTTCTTTCAATAACAAGTACTAGTTAATTTGAACTGATACTTCTTTTCCAAACAGACAAAAATAGTAAAGGGTATTGATTATTTTAACATCAACCAGAGAAATAGAAGATAACAATAACTAAAAAAATGCATTATTGGGATTCTTATGGGTACGGACATTCTTTTAAGAAACCAGGGGGGGGGGACTCAATATATTACTTCATTTTTAGATATTATATCCTAAGCTGTCAACTATCTCTTGGCAAAGAAAAAAAATACCATTTTGGTTTTAAAATTTGAACGTTTTGCTTTTTTTTTTTTGTTCAAAGCTATAATCACCTCTTATCAGATTTTTTCTATAGATAGGCCGGGAATGATACGTTATACATTTCTTACATGTAGTTTCGTAGAGGTGTTGATGAAGTATTACTACCATAAAAATGATCTATCAATTATTTTACAATGTCATTTTACCCATGCATGTGAAGGACTTGTTCGTCGTGTTCAACGTGTCTTCTTGGGTTTCATGTGGTGGTACTTGTATGGATATACCGGTATTATGTTGATGCATTCTTTTACATGTAACATTTATGGAGTACTGTAAATCACTTTTTATGCGCGAGAACTTTATTTTCGCGTAATTACGCGAGACAGTGTGCTCGCGAAAATTTAATTCTCGCGAATAATAATATTCCTTAAGAATATATAAAGCAATAACCACATTCGCGAAAATTTTGTCTCGCTAATCAAAAATCATTGACTATCTCGCGAAAATAAGATGTCGCGAAAATTTAGTGATCTACAGTATACTGATTCAAATTTCAAAGAAAACTTCTCTTAGACAAAAAAAAGTACATTCCTTGTATGTGCTTTTTTTCCAATTTGAATTATAAGAACTGTAAGCAGCAAATAATCCCTTCACCAAAAACTTCTAAAGGACAGAAACAATAGCAACTTTTAAACATTATATAAAGTATACATGTATGTAATAAAATTTAAAATCTTTGATTTTTTACTACATACCTACTAACGTTTCCTACATGTATTTTTAGGACGATGATATCCTAGAACAAGAAAATATATGGATAACGAACAATATTCAAGCTCAAAAGTCAAACAATACAAAATAGGAGCAGAGAAATGTTTTACACGGAACTTGGAAACGCCAGAGTTGGGATTCATTTCAATTCAACCCCCCCTTCCCTACATAAAAAAAATAAGAATCAAATTTCACTAAGTAAATATTTATTTTCTTATCACAATGGCTAAATTTTCAGTAGTTTATTTTCTCTATAAAAAGGACGATTAAAATTTAAGAATGAAGAAAATTGCTTACAACAAATTTATGATCATGATGAGAATGAATCAATAATTACTAGTTTCGATAATACTCTTGATCTCTACTGGTACAAGTGAAAAAAAATTATTATGCTTTCGTTAAGGTAAAGAAATCCATTCAACTCATTCTTTCATTTAGTTTTAACTTCTGCATAGGCTACAGTTTCGGAGCTGTAGTCATTTGTGTATGGCGAGTTTTCATTATTCAAATCTCTGCTGTGATCAACTTCCATATTAACTAGTCCATCCTGATTTTGCGTGCGAACAGGACTATTTTTCGCGTTTTTGTTTGGTTTGTTAACTTGCGCATACATATCTCCACCAGTATAATTAACTGGAATACTTTGATTCTTTTTAGGAGTTGCATACAGAGGTTGTTCTTGTTTTGTGTCTCTGTCATTTGCCGTCTCCCGTTTTACTGGTGTATCGTAAATGTTGGGCGTTTGATAACTATCATTCATCGTTGGATCAGGAAGACTGGGCTTTTGTTCCTCTACTGTGGAATAGCCTACTTCGTCAGCATGTTGAGAGGAATGGTACAAAGGATTGTCCGGTAGATTGTGCTCATATTCATATCCATTATTTGTATGCTCTGTAAATGTAGTTAATGTTTCTTTGGGAATTTTATTTTCTTTTTTATTTCTTCTCCTGTGCCTGTCAATATAAAATTGGTCTTATTCCTGTGATATCATGAAACATAAATGCAAGGCAATCTAAAATTTTGAAATCAAAAATGTTTGTTTAGAAAAAAGAACAAAGCAAAAAAAAAAAAAAACAATGTAAACACTTTTTTTCTACCTCTGTGTACATGTGCAGTTGTGAATGTGGGGAATAATTGAAGAATGTGGGTGTATAAATACCTTAAGAGGATCGCAACAATAATAAAGGACACTGAAACAAGTAACAGTCCCCCTCCTGCTGCTAAGCCCACGATGGTATCTGAAATAATGAACATAGCATAGAAACTCATTTCATTTCATATCAAATGGTTGGAAATATAAGTGAAATATGTTGAAATGGAAGCATGTTGATTTTGATAAAAGTGCATGTAAGACGTGTAATGCTCGTAGTCATAACTAAATATTTATATGTTTACTATACTGTA